GAGAGAGAGAGAGAGAGAGAGAGAGAGAGAGAGAGAGAGAGATACTTTATTTGTCCAGATGGAGATTTAGGAACACGGAGTTAAAAGACATGCTGCCACTCGCGTCGGCGCCCAGGTAAGTTCAATAGGATAACATTACATTTGCGGTGCTGCTAACTTGTAAGTAAATTATCTGCCTATTTCACGGTCAGAGATTTTACAGAAAGGTCCTATTATTAGGGATTAAAGCAGCATTAGCTACATGATCCCTATTGTTTTTTTACTTACTGGAATGGTTTTATTTTTATTATCATTTTTATTTTATTTAACTTAACAGTCACAGGTTTTGTAATAATTGTTTGATTTTTTATTATTCTCTGCTAATTTAACCCGTGTGTATGTGGGACTTTCAGGAAACACTATTACTTTACTAAGGGTAAAAATGCAGTCAAATGCTGTTTGCAAATGGAGCACTTCAAATGCGCACTAAAAATACAATAATTTTACCATTCTAGGGTCACTAGCCACCAAAGCATGTGAGCGGAGTGGAGCGGTGAGAATTTCCGCTCCTCGCTCACGAGGCTGTTGGCTCCGCCCGCTCCTCCGCTCTAATTCGCACTAAGCCGCTCCGCTCCTCGCTCCGCTAAAATTTCCTCCCGCTCCAGTCAAATCGCTCCACGCTCGCTCCAATTTAAAAGAGGGACAAATGTCACCTTAAACCGAAGCCTTATATCATAAAGAAATATGAACAACGGCAACATTGCCAGTCAGAACAGAAAATATATATTTTTAAGCAACTTATAGGCAACAACGGACAGGTTTGGCAATGGCATTCCACACAAAAATAGGCTTAAAAATAAAGGAATCAGTGGGCTTAATAGCCTAAAGAATATACAGGCACGTTTTAAATTCCTCAATTTTTTTCCGTTGATGCCGCCGCGTCCTTATTCTCTATTCTCTGTTCGCGCAGCACACTCGTGTTTCTGAGAAAAGTGATCCCAAAGTGAATCTATACTCACATTGTTGTTTTTGCTGTACATTATTGTAATCTATACGTTTGATAAGAATAGTACACTTGTATGATTTATCAATTTCCTTTGTGAAATACTTTGCGAATTCCATCTAGGCTAATTTGTGTAACAATCTTGATAATTGTACAGATGAATTCTGGGTAGATTTGGGCACGCCTCAGAATCGTAGTGTGAGCGGTATCAGAGCGAAATTGGAGCGAAATTGGAGGTTTGTTCCCAACACAGGAAAGAAGATGAGCACTGATGTCTGCTGGAGGGTCACTCAACGTTTTTGGAACTGTTTTTGTTAAAGTTTTTGAGTTATAGATAAAACAAATCTTTCATTTTTTTCATGTAAATTATCTGAACAGTACTCCATATGTTAGTTTATGTGTATATATGTGAATTTAATTTCTGTGCCAAAGAAATTACATTTTTTGAAAGATGAATATTGGTACTTGTTTATTAAATACCATCTAACGTGGCCCACTGGGCCTTGACAACATGCCGTGATAAGTAGGTGAACCTTAATGCTGAAAAGGGTTAGAACCATGGGGTTTACACCAACAAAAATTATAGGTAATGAGGAAAATAGAGTGGTGCTTGAAAGTGGGTTAACCTGTTAGAATTCTGCAAGAATTTCTGCATAAATATGATGTGTGTCACTACAGTCCCTGATTATTAGATCAGATATTTGAGCCTGCTCTAAGCTGGTGGCAATTAGAGGCAGGCTAATTTAAGTAATTTCAGTCATTTCAGTCATCAAAGCTCTTGGAGCATAGGGTTCTCTAGCTGTTCAGTCAGAGGTTTGTTTGACAGGTTTAGATGGAGTGGTTCTGTTTCCTTGTGACTGTCAGTAGCCAGCAGGTATTGGTGTGGTGGTGTGGGTAGCTTGGGGTTCATGGTCCTTGTTGACTGGTATTTGGTCTTGGGCTTCTGGTTAGCTGGTTTCTATGTGTGTGTGGAGGGGGGCTTCATGTGGCCAGCATTGCGTAGCTGGTGTGTTCTGCTGTTGGTGTCCTGCTTTGGGTCTTTTATGTGTGTCTTGGGTTTTGTTTGTGTTTCCCCTTTTTAGGTTCCCTGGTTCCTGTTTATTACTCCTCTGCAATGGATTCTGCCTTCTGCTTCACCTCACCCTGGAGCCGCCCATCCAGTCAGCAGCCCAAGTCCCCCTGGTTCCCTGTTTCCAGTTGTGTTGGGACTGCTGGTCTAAGGGGCCGGGGGACGGAAAACCTGGCATGATGGATGAGAGGCCCAGGTTGAGATGTTCTGTCGCAAGCCTTGTTTCTGAAGGACAATAAATGTTTTTAACCAGTAAGCACTAGAGACCAGTAAAATGTGATATGAAAATGTGATTTAACATGATCGGAACAGACGTTCTTAAACTACACAAAGAGAACCAAATTAAAGTGATACAAAAGCATGACCCATTTGTGTGTAAAAAGTATGTGAATCGTTGTCAATAACTAGTGTGACCCGCTTGTGCAGCAATATCTTCTACTAAATCTTAAATATATTTTTATTATATATATCTTGTTATATAGTCTGATTTGTATAACTTGTCAAATCAGCAGAGTCCTAAAGGAACCATGATGTGAATGTACACCAGGATTTTAAACTGAGAACCATTCATCTTCCATGGGTTAAGGAGCTTCCACTTTTATCATTAGCTAAATCTGATAATCCAAATGGACCCAGATCCAAGCTTTAGCATCTCTGCTTTGTGTTTTTCATCTCGTCTTTCTAGTGGAAGTACAAAGGTCGCCCGGAATCCAAGTCCTTCCTTTATGACATAGTGGCAAATGAAAGAAATAGCATCGATGTGGACAAGATGGATTATTTTGCTAGGTAAGGCTTCTGTAGCTCTTAGCCTCTTGCATATCAGTGATTATCAGAACAAGCTGACTAAAGTGATATAATTGTTTTATTTATACCGGCCCTTATTCTGGTTAAATTATTGGTTATTAAGTTGCCCTTCTATGACAATTATACTTTAAACTTTTCCACACCTTAAACCTAATCCATAAATGCCCATCCTTATCTTTAAGGTTTTGGTCCAGCAGCCCTACCTGCCTTTGATCTCATCTTGTATCCCCTATTAGAGACTGTCACCACCTCGGCATCAGGAACAATTTTGACTTTGAGCGCTTCCTGATGTTTGCCCGTGTGTGTGTCGTAGATGGGAAGAAGCAAATCTGCACCAGAGATAAAGTATTTCCTCTAATCTTTGCCTTTCTCTAGAAATGAGTTTAATATGTGTAATGTAATAAAAGTTCTAAAGAGAAACTAGCTTTCAATTATCATTAGAGGTTTAACTTACGTACTCATTAATATCATTTTTATAATTCTACATAGTTACCTAGTTAAACATAACCTCACAAATAGTTAATAATCAATATTCAGATTTGTCTGTCTTAATTTCTTTGTTGACATTCTGTAAGGTAGTGCTGACTGTACTCTTGCAACCTCTTACTTTTGCAGGAAGCACACAACCTCTACGAAATGTTTCATACCAGACACCGTCTCCACCGCGAGGCCTACAAGCACAGAGTGGTGCACATCATTCAGGCAATGTGAGTGCTGGCGTGTGCAAAACCACAGGCCATGTACTGTCCTCCAGACTCTGTGTTCGACATAGTAAGTCAAAATAGCTGTGAACTTGTATGTTCATGGTATGCTCGTGTAGAATCTGGGCTGTGGAACCCTGATGCATACTTTACTGCCTGGTCTTCACTGGGGAGCTTCTCTCTGGCCAGTGGAGTGGGGTTTGTTAGTTGAATCGGTTAGGATATTTTGAACTGGAAACCAGAGCCAGAAGCTGGAGAGGCTGGATGCCACGAGCAGCTTAAATAGAACCATGAAGGTATGTGGGAAGGTTATTTGGTGGCTTAGTCAAGGATGTATGGAGGATGGTCTGAAAAACACCCCTTGGATGTTTTTGTTAAAAACCATTATTGGAAAATTCTGATTCATCAGTTTTGTATGGTGTACAAGTTTGGGGGGAGTGGATTGATACTAGGAAGTAACTTAGGCAAGCAGGAAAAGTGTTCATATCGGTGCATTATCCCCGATTAAGATGAGTAAAGATCTAGGTTGCAGTCATAGCTCGTTTTAGTTTTAATTGATGGTGTTAATGATCTGAGTGGGTTATGGGTAGAAGCTTCACCTCAGGCTCTCAGCCCCAGTCAGAACATTCTGAAGGCTCCTGCATGAGCAGAGCTACCTGAAGAGTTTATGGCATAGGTGGTGAGTGTCTCTGATGTTTAATGGCCTGGACCTACATCGCTGGATGTAGATGTCCGGCAGGGTGGGCAGTTCTGTCCTGGTAATTCTCTCAGTGCTCCATATCGCCCTCTTCATGGCTCTGCAACTGCCATACCGGGCAGTGATGCTCCCAGAAAGCACAGACCACACAGTTGTGCTGTAGAAGGTTTTTCGCACATCTTGAATTTCATCACATGCCTCAGGTGGTACAGTCACTGCTTAGATTTCTAGGAGAACCCAGTTCTTTTTTGACGAGGATTTTCCCTTCTGTTTTCAGGATATCAGAGGCTTTTCAAAAGGCTGACAAGTATATCCAGATCTCTGGCTCTGATGGCCAGATGTTTAACCTCTCCACTGCTATCGATGACATGGAGGCCTACACCAAGCTGACAGGTCAGGCCTTCTAGTTGGCATCTTGTTAGAAAATGGAAGGGATCTTATCAGTATTGCTGAACATCCCTAAATCAACCAGGTTTATAGAGAGAACTGAAGAAATACAAGTTTCATGCATACCTTCAAGAACTGTGTGTGGTGTGTTCGAGAAAATTCCATAGCTATTTGTCTTGTTTGAGGTCTGAAAATCTTGGATGTGTCTGTGGAGTGGAATTTCCTCAAACACTCTGCTGATTGGTCAGCTGGACTGCCAATCTCCCTCCCTAGACTATGTGTTTGACCGGATCCTATACTCCAAGTGCAATAATCTTGCTGACGCACAGACCATCCTGAAGAAAATTGTTGACCGCGAGCTGTACAAATGTGTGGATGAGATACGGCACCTCACAACCAAGGAGATCAAGCAGGTGAGGATTGTCAAGTAAAACTCAGATTAGTACAGAGAGGAAATGGGTGGAGATTGTTGCTGATGTACCCCTATGATTGGTATTTACTGATGTTCTTAATTGATAAATCTACTTCCGCTTAGGATGAATTTCATAAGTGGTATAAAAATGAAACCTCTTCCAAGCCAGATGTCAGTGTTCAGGCAGAGGACATCATCATCAAAGTAAGTTTGGTTATGCTTTTCTTATTAGGCTAGTCTCCAAATATCCAACTTTTCCTTGCTCTTCAATGTCATGGAAACAACAGACCTGTGATTTCAAGCCATTTGTTATGTTACTCGTCAAAAGTATTTTTTTTCTTCTGTCATTCAGGAAATTAAGATGGACTATGGAATGAAGGAGAAGAACCCCATCAATGCCATGTGGTTTTACCGCAAGAATGACCCAGACTCTGTGTTCCAATTCAAGGAAGATGAGGTATGCTACCCATCACCCGGTGACTCTCACCCAAACGTCAGTCCTGGCTCTGATGTTTACTGGCGGTTTTCTGACTCGGTCTAGACTGCCACTTATGTCACCTAATGGGCCGACTGGCACCTAGCTTCTAATCCTTCTGTTCACATCGTCATTATGCCTCATCTCATCCTCATAACTACAGACTATTTACATACGTGGCATGCAAATGATTACTGCCTAATTTGCACTTTACGCATTTAGTCACAACAGTTACCAACATTAATTCATGGGAAGTGGTGACAAGATATGGTATTTTATAATTAATTTCTCTAAGGTAAATGCATAAAATCAATAAATTCCACTTAACGTAGTTAGATTTACTGTTCCTTATGCCAAAGCACGGCTTGCTCATATGAATTACTAGTATGCTTGCAATCATGGTGCTGGTTTACTTACAGCTCTATGCTGTACAATATTTGTTGTCTTTTCACACTTTATCCACCATGTTGCGCACACATACCTCTGACATTCTATAATTTGTGTGGGATGTTGCGTACGCACATTTTAGGCTTCTTTTTGTGCGTACGCAACTTTGATATATGAGGCCCCTTCTTATCTGTCTTGATGGGCCAAATGGCCTCCTCTCATTTGTAAATTTCTTATGTTTATTAACTCTAGATTCTTCCGGTGGGGGTGTAAACAGCTGGTCATTCTGGGAAAGAGCCTGATCACTTATGTGCTGTTCCACATTCTAACCTTAGGTCTCTGAGCTCCTCCCTAAGAAGTTTTCAGAGAAGGTAATCCGTGTATTCTGCAAAAAGCCGGATAACAAGAGCCTGGATGTGGCCAAGATGTACTTTCAGCAGTGGTACGACACCATTAACCAGGGTTAATCTGCATGTCAGCGCAACATTTGCCAAGGAGGGGAATGTATTTATTTTATACTTTATGTTTATTCCCAGAATCTTTTGTTTATGTGCTGTAATTGTTGTGGTGTTGTTGTGAATTCATTTAATGTTACAGTTTTCATATTGGTGTAATTTAGGACATTTTTCTGTTAGATTAATCATGCATGTTGGTATGTACTGCAGGTATTTGCTGTTTAGTTTGGGATGTTGTACATTTCTTGTGCCCAGTTATCACTATGTACCACAACCACAGTGTGCAAAATACAGCTGGTACTTGTTCATATCCAGAAGGTTCCTGCTACAGCAGTGATGGTACATGATTGTCCCACATCTGCCATGTTAAATCTAGATTAAAAAATTTTGTTTTGTGTGCATTTGATTAATTTCCCAGGTTAATCAATATATTGTATTTTTTATTTCTAATATTTCTAAGTATCAGGTTTTCCTCTTTTTATTATATATACTTATTTAGCAGGCACTATTGTCCACAGTGATGTATGAGTGACAATCAGAGAGCAGGGTCAGCAAATGCACCGTGAGTAATTGGGGTTGAGGACCTTGTTCAGGAGCCCAGTGGTGATTATATTTCCTTTTCAGGCATGAGATTTGAACCAACAACCTCCTGGATCTTGAGCCTTAATCCACTGAGATACCTATCTGTTTCATTGATATTCTTTCATGTTTATCTAAAGCATTTCTAAATACCATTGATTATGAAAGGTGTGATAAACCTCAACTTGTCCTGCATTGCTCCACCCCCTGATTTTATTTTCTGGGTTGTATTTATTGTACTTATTGATCCCTGTGTTTTTGTGTTTACTGCAACTGTTTATAAGAAGTCATATGTTCATATGTTGCACTGGTGGAAGGCATGACACAAAGTGCTTTTGCTAGTTTCATGCCAGCACATTCCTCATTTTCAAGCCATGCGTGCGCTCATAGGACTTTTACTTTTAATGTTCTGTGGGCAGAACGAAAAATGATTGTTTCAGAGAGATGCTTGGACCCACCTCCTCTACAAGTAAATCTCCTGGCAGTCATGCGTGCATGTCACCAAAACAATGACTTTTCGGCCGTTTTTCTGCTCATAGAGAGGGGATAGGTAAGGAGCGCGCGCTGATACAGCACATTGCCGCACGCACCACACGATGAACCACCGCAGGGATGAGAATCTGAGTGCACCACACTAGTTAGAGTGAAATGGAACAGTGCGCAGTATTTTTTTCTGGTGGCTGTAGTGCCAGTCCTGCCATCCACCCCCAAATTTTTCTCTGAAAGTTGGAGGACCTGCTAGCAGGGGGTAGCACTCGTAGGAGTGGGGTGTTTCAAATGAGG